CCCCAAAACCCCAAAACCCCAAAACCCCAGTATTTGTTTCTTTGGTTGAAAAATACTTTTTCTTGCATTCAACTTCTGGACAGGCAAGGTAAATGTTCTTTTCTATCTTTTTGGTTACAAATTTTTCTATCCTACCAACAATAGTGTAGAAGCTGCATGTCTTCTTTCCTTCAGTACTTGGCTTGAACTTTTCAGTGTCGATAACTTGGGAAAGAGTAAGTATCTCACGGAGAATCGACATTGGAGCAGATACATTCTTATTGGATAAGCCTCCCTTTTCTTTCTTACCACTCAGAAAGTCATTAATGGATATCAAGTTGTTCTTCTGTGTTGAGTACCAATCTTTCAACTCTTGTGTTCTTTTTGCCTTCGGATTCAAAACAATACTGCTATTGTCACCAATAGTAAGGGATTTTTGTTCATTGAATTCATGAATTTTGGCTCCTTTGATTCCTATAACAGTATCTTCGTTTACATCAACTTCTTCTAATTTTGGATGATTCCCCCAAAAGGTTGATTGTATGAAGAGGCCTGAGTCATCTGCAAGTGTGACCTGTCTTTTATCCTTACAATCTCCATTTCTTGTAGTTATTCTTTGAATGCAGTTTAGTCTATGGATTATTCCAATGAAATCTAAGAAGAGTAGAGACTTTTCTTCACATATATCATTAATGCCCTTGTAGCTTATGACTTCAGTTCCGATACGTTCATCTTCGTCTCATTCAACTATTTTTGACATTTTCGATAAGGTAATGGAGAAATCATGAGGTAAAGATCAGAACTTCTTATTGGATTTCTTAAGATTTCCTCTGGATATTTTATAAACTTTACCCTCCTGAAGGAAGTCTCCATACTTTTCTACTCCATCTCTAAAGAGAGTGGCTTGGATCATAGTGCCAAATCTGTCCATGAGTTCAATGTTCATAAGGCATCCTTCTCCATTACTATTAGTGTAACGTCTGATATTTCCTTTCTTGGTGAGTCTTACCTTGATAGTCCAATTCTTACTGATGTTTGATAGAACTTTGACAGCTGTAAACTCTCCGTCACCATCTCCATCTTCTGTGGTGTCCATCTTCTTGTGAGTAGAATAATTCTTTAGCTCAGAAATTTTGTTTGTAAAGAAGTTTACATTGGTATCTGATTCTTGAAGTATCTTTCTCTCTTCAAACAATTCTGGGCGGATTTTCAGGTCAACATCTTCTGCATCTTTGAGTACTTTGTTCTTCAGGATCTGTTTCTCATCACCTATAGCTTTGACAAGTCCAGAGTGCATGACTACAGGAGCTTTGAGGATCATTCATACTCTAAATTAGGTTAGGAAAAAACAACTTACTTTTTCTTACTCTTGCCTGCATCTCTGAGAGTGAGCTTACTAATCTTGATGATATCGTATTTCTTAATGTCTTTGTTCTATAAATATTAGTAACTAAAATCTTACCATTCTGTTTGCGATCTTGTGGAGAACCATGGTATCCAGAAAATTAACCCCATCGGTAATTTTGAGTCTGTAGCGGCAGTTTTTTACCTTTTTGTTACCATCTCCGTAGTCAATAACTTCAATGACTTGTGCGAAGATAGTATCTTCGTATTCTTTTTCTTCATTTTCATGGACTAATTTAACCCAGTTTTTAGTAAGACTCTCCATTTTTGTCTTATTTTCCAAAAACCTTCAGAAAATACTGCACTCAATTATTAAAATTGCCCGAAAATTTTCCCAGATAATAATATGTTTTTGGAGGTTTTAGTATAAAATATTGAGACCACTTCGTCAATGATTCATAAACCTATTTCAATATCCTGAGCATGATTTGGGGTTTTGGGGTTTTGGGGTTTTGGGGTTTTGGGG